GCACTGGTGAACTGTAAGGTGTGCAGTGAAAGTGAGCAATCTAAAGAGCAGAGAGAAATGAGAAATGATTGGGAAAAGAAGAGCTATGGTGATTCTATCTAACATATTTATAATAGGAGTTTCAGAAAGAAGGTGGGGGAGTGAGCAGGAAAAGATTGTCAAGAAAAAAGGGCAGATTATTTTTAGATTTGACAAAACTTAAAATTAAAAGATCAAAGAAGTCAGTGAACAACAAGCAGGAAAATTACAATGGAAACCACATCTAGGCACTTCATCATTGAGCTGATAAAAGCAGATACATTAAAAAATCTGGAAAGCAAACAGAGAAATGACACACATACATGTGTATAATGACATGAATTATGATTGACTTTGCATCATAAATAATGAAGGACAGAAGACAATGGATGAACAATTCAACAGTGATTTTTTTAAAAAGCTATTAATGTAGATTCTATATCCAGTGAAAATATCCTTCAAAAGTGAAGGTAAAGTAAAGACATTTTATGATGAATGAAAACTGAGAAATTTTGTTATTGACAGACTTTCACTACAAAATATGCTAATGGGAATTCTTCAGGCCAAAATGACAGTAGATGGGAGTGGTTCTACAGAATGTAACAATTAGAACTGTAAATGGCGAACATGAGAAACTATGAAAGGTCACATTTTTCTTCTTAATTCTATAAAATACATATGACTATTTGAGGCTATAATCATTGAAATAATAGTCAACAAAAGTCATGCAACATATAATACATATGACAGAAATGGCCCCAAGGATGGGAGTTAATAGAAGTATATTGATGCAAAGTTCTCATACTTTACTTGAAGAGGTATAATATTAGCTCTAGGGAGACTGTGCTAATAGTGCATATTAAAATGCCTAGAGGAACCACTCAAAAGTGATGTAAAGATGTAGCTATAAACCAGTAGAGGAACTTAAATAATATTACATATATTCAGTTAACTTAAAAGAAGGCAGAGAAAGATAAACAAATGAGAGATAGTACAAATAGAAAATAGAGAGCAAAAGAATGAAATTCAACCATATTATAATTATATTTCATTTAAATAGACCAAACCCTCCAATTAAAAAGCATAGGTTGATTGCCACACATCTATTGGAGCAGCTAAAATAAATAATGGGGTTCATACCAAAAGCTGATGAAGATACAGAGAAACTGGATTTCCTGCATATTGCTGGTGGGAATACAGCCACTCTGGAAAACAGTTTGGTAGTTATTTCAAAACTAAACACGCACTTATCATATGATGCAGTCATTTCACTCTTGGGCATTTATCCCAGAGAAATAAAAACATGTTCACACAGAAACTGTACGAAGTATTCTTAGCAGTTTTATTTGTAATATCAAAATACTGGAAACAGCCTAATATCTTCCTTCCATGGGTGAAGGATGGAACAAACTGGTACATCCATATGATGGAATACTTTTCAGCAATAAAAAGATGTGAACAACTGATAATTCATTTATATAACATTATCAAGACAACAAAACAATAGAGAGATGGAGAAGAGCTTAGCAGTTGCCAGGTGAGAGGGAGAGGGTGAGTAGGATGGGAGGTGGGTGTGAATACAAAGAGGTATCATGAAGGAGTGATTCACTCACTTGTATCTTGATTTTGGTGGTGGTTGCGTGAATCTATACATGAGATCAGATTGCATAGTACTACACACATGGGTTCACATGCATGCACTGTGTGAGTACACACACATACACACACATGCACACACACCCCACAAATGCACTTTCATATTCCTTCTCCACTGACACCTAGAGAGGATAGTGACACTGCAGAAATGAAACTAACAGTCACTTTGTTTTCTAGTATTTTGTATAATTTTTCAAGTTCAATCTTCACTGCGTCCATGTAAGTTTAAATGCAGTACGTTCTCTGTATTAACACAGAAGATGGCTGGGTGATAAAGTAACATTAAAGTTCCCTACTGTTTACATCTAGCAGTGTCACTGGTTTATCACTTCTTTGCTCATTTCTCCCACCACACCCTGATTCCATAGTGAGTAGATTTCCCATCTTATTTACATAACCTTTCTCATTTTCAATGGATATGAGTTCTTTATCTTAACTTTTGGGTACTAATAGATAACCATCCCTTTTGTAATTAATAAGGAACCAAAATCAACCCTCTATTTAACAAGCTCAGTTTTCTTTAGTCCCTCTGCTCTTTTTCACCCTGGTCCTATCACATAATTATCACAGCCTCCTGTGAAAGCTGCTAGGCATTTATTTCTGCATGCTCTTCTTGACTGAGAGAGGGTAGAGGTACAAGAATTTTGTCCTGCAGATCTCCACTTACTTCCTTTACTCTAATTTGGGTATTGATTTGCATTTGAAAATAATATTCCTGAGTTTATATCAAAATAGGGAAAATGGGAATGGCTATCTCTATGTCTCCTAATTGTCTCAGATCAATCTACCAGACCCTGGCATGGAGATGACTCTGGGATCACTGGGTTGGAACAGACCTCATCGGAGGTCACAGGAAAATAGTCCTCAAACACAGGCCAATGCAAAGTTATTCTCTCAAACTCTCTTCTGAGCAAGACAATCTTCTGGATATCAATCTGATGGCTTCTCTTTGCTCGGTGCTACTATTCAGAGTCTGATCAGGATTTAGGAAACGGGTCTTACTTCTCTTTCAGTGGGAACTGAGTCTTCTCTAACCTGGGTAATTTATTCTACATAGTGTGGTTAGGACAATTGCCAAGGTATTAAAACTCATATTTGGCCCAGAGGATTATTACTACTTGGAGAGATCCAGGCAAACTTTTCTAGCCAGATCCACAAAAAGGTGAAAACATGTTTGCAAAGATTGGATCACCAATTAATCAATTTCTCTTCATGTTAGTTTGATGGTTGAATGAAGCAAGAGATTACAAAAGCTTTGTATTGATTAGCTGGAGTGAATGTGGCTTCTGTGTGTCCCTTGTATCCGAAATATGTGGCACTAGGGACAGATTCAACTCTAGTTTTACCATTTCCAAAAAAAGGAATGTGATAGCAAGACTCGGATAACATTCATTTAAGGCGTGCATGCACCTATTAAAGGAGGTGGTAAAAACAAAAATATAACTTCTGGAGGGAGAAATTTGCTCATTTTTAAATCAGTTATTTTAAGCAGTATTAAATAAATTAACAGATACCCTCCAGTAAGACTTCCTCATTAAGTATCTGATGATTACACAACACAGTTTAAGTTATTGAACTGATAAACTGATGTATGAAAATGATAACCTATTTAAAATTGGAAGAGATGAGGATGAAAAAGGTAAGGACTGGAGAGGAAAGAGGGCCATTCCAGAGAGAAGAAACATGTATAAAACACAGATGTGCAAAAATTGAGGAGTTAAACATTGTTTATTCCACAATGACTATAAAGAAATGACTACTGAGGCTGAAGAAGCCGTGCTCGAATGTGGGGAGCCTCACTGACTAAAACTAAGGACTTTGAACTTTTTAATGCAGTTTAGTGATCCCCAAATTTTTATTTAAAATAGTGTGTGGGAGTTTTTGAAAAATAAGTGTACATATACATGTGCATTTTAGAAAATTTTTCATTACTTCATTGATATTTTTGGTAGTAATTTTTTTTTAGTTTTATGCTCACTTTAAATATTTTTAATTATATTATTAATTTAACCACATACTCAACTATATTTTAAGTTTAAAAGATAATTAAAGTAAAGAGAATCTTAAATGATTTAGAATGCAAGTATGGAAACATTGACTATGCTGCATGCAAACTACTGAATTTGGAGAACTTTCTATAGCTAAGTAGGAACCAGTAATGATTTTTAGGCAGGAGAATTACATTGTCTGGCTGCCTGCCTCTCTCCCCACAGCTCTTTCTCATTGTTTTGATACAATGCCAGTAAATGTGTGAGACTGGTTTGGGATGGGAAGAGGTCAAAGTAAATGCAGACAAGAACTTCCTCAGTTGGGAGATCAGCATTGTTTGGAGTTAAATCAGTCTCTGCCCAGAGACGGCAATGGACAGCAGACACTAACGGGAAACAGCAGGATTTATGAATAGTAGAATCTACAACTTGATGGAGGGGGGTAGATTTAGGATGTTCAGAATAATTAGAGAGGAGAAAAGGCAGGTAGAGTAAAAGATACTTTTAGGCAATACAGTTGACCCTTAAACAGCACAAGTTTGCACTGCACAGGTCCACTAATATGTGCATATTTTTCAATAATTAGAAATTTTTTTGAAACCTGTAACACTTTGAAAAAACATGTTCTTTTTATAGCTTACTTTATTGTAAGAATATAATATATAACACATATAAAATACAAAATATGTGGTAGCTGACTGTTATTGGGAAGACTTCCAGCCAACAGTTAGGCAAATAGTAGCCAAGTTTAGGAACATCAGAAGTTGAAATACATGGATTTTCAACTGCACAGGCAGCATTGCCTCTAAATCCCTGTGATGTTCAAAGTCAGCTGTAGTGGAGTTTTGTAATAATATTCCACAAAAATCCGGCAAAAGGAGAGGAGCTGCATCCACTTCCCTTCGGCCTGACAAACCCCTGATCACTTTGAACCTCACGTGCAGGTTTTAGTAGAAGATGGGCAGGATTTGGAATATTCAGTTACACATTTTGAGTTTCTCTCCCTAGAGAAAGCACGAGTTCAGAGCCAGACTACAGAGTCGTATGCTAGTCAAGGAAAGCATGGACTTCTCTCCATCTAAAGGAAGGAAGGGAGTACTGAGAAGGGAGAGAGAACGCTGATTTTTCACCTGGGGAAGGGGGTGCTTTGAAGACTGCATTTTCCAAGGCCAGTGGGGGTGAATATAGATGCTAATGAGACCAGAATTCATCTGTGAAGCTCAGAGTGCTTATTGTGAAGAATCCCTTTCATCACAGGTACATATAAAACATTGCAACAAGGAGGAAGACAGGATTTTCATTTATTTGAGAAACAGTGTCACAAAGGACTCCTTGAAGAGTCATTTGCTCCAAGTGGCACTACACGGTGCTAAGCTCAGCATCATCATACCCAGGGTCCTCTTGTCCCAGCACCAGCAAGGATCCCTGCTCTCCCAGGCTGGAGCTGACAGCTTCCCTGGGACACTGCAGAGAGGTGCCTGAAACAGTCAGGAGAATCGTGGTGTCCATGGGGATGAAGGGCCACAGTCCTCTGGTGAGCTGAGTACTAAGTGGTGACAAAATACGTGTGGGGACCCAGAGCTTGTCTGAAAGTCTAGACAAAGCTACTCCACAGTGACTCAGCTGTGCAGTGCAAAATATTGTCTTCATCTTAACAATAGGAAAGGCGATGCACCAGTAATGGCAAGGAGGGGAAAGAGACGTGAACACTCCCTTGTGCAGCGGTCTGCTCTGGCGTCCTCAGGAATGGATGGAGGCAGGAGATGACCTCCACAGAGCACCTCACATCTCCAACCCTCAACTCCTCCATAACCGATCAAATCTGACCTAAAAGCACTCAAGGAAACAATCTGGGTCCTCGGCCAGATGCCACAAAGGAGCGGCTCACCCACATCCCAGTCTCCTGTTCCCCGGGGACCGTATGCTCACACAGAAGCAGAAAGCCCAGTCCTAGGGAATGACGATCTCTGTCTGTCATTTGAAACAGTGAGAGAAACTGTCTCTGAACTTCCTCCCTGCGCTGACTTTGTGACTCTAATGGAGTCCCTTGCATATGATGCATTAACAGGGGGGTAATGTCAACGTTAAACATTTGCTTACATGGATCCCCCAAAACAAGTCCTTAGAGTTCACAAATTTACATTAAATTGATTCCTAAAAACTTTCCAGAATACCTCCCACAACTGGAAGAGCCCCGCATTACTGTCAGAACATGTAACTTAATTTGGGGCATGAGAAATGGGAACATAGCCTCTGCAACTCAGACATGTCTGCATCCAACTGATGGTGGATGTGGACGCAGAGGACACAATGTTTCTCCTCTCGGGAGAGAAGAAATAGCTACAGTATGTCAGGGACAGGGAAGAGCTGCTCTCATCAGGGATATGGCGCTGACAGTAAAGAAAAAGTGAGCATTGATGGGTCCAAATTCCTCTTCTCCATGACAAGGAAGTAAGCAACTGGCCACAGAGCTGCCCACTCACCTGTCTGGGAATACCTGGCACTACCTCCCTCTCCTAGGAAAAAATAATTCTTACTCATCTCAGGGGAAGACGGAATTTCAGGAACAGGTAAGACATCAGCATCATCGTAACCATCCCCTGTGGCACTGTCATGCAGTCCTGGAGGGTCCGAAACTAGACAAGGGGGCAGAAAATGTGGTTGGCTAGCGGATGTTCCAGGTCCCTTCCAGGGCAGAGATGCTACTAGCTGGAAAGTCAAAGGCAAGCATTTGATTACAACATTCTCAGAAATCATTTGAATCTTCAAATTACTCCTACATACTTTTCCAACCTGGCCTCTCATACCAAAGCATCAAGCAGAGCTGTTCTGCTGTGAGTTTCAGGTGCTATTTTCAAGCACAGGGACAGTGTTGTAACACAATATGCACAGATCAGTGATGGAGGGAGGAGGAATCAGGACCCAGAGAAGCCAGGCTGTGCACCAGGGCTCTGCAGCTGTGGGAGACACGGAGCTGGCAGGCAGACACAAGCTGGGCATGCTGCACCAGAGACAGCAGATGCCAGGAGTCCCAGTCACAGGAGGCCTGGCTTTGTATCCGCTCTAGGGCCCAGGTGACCTCAACACCAATCTCCTGGCACCCCTGCACAGGCCTCTTCTTAAATGCTGCCCATCTTAACCATCTGGAGAAGATCCAGGGGGACAGTCTCCTCTCGTAGGTCCCTCGTAAAAAGAGCTTCTGGCAATTGATGAGCACAGGCACCTGGCCCTCTGCACATTCCAGGGCCTAGCAGCATCAAGATTTCTGTCTCAGTCTACACATAACCCATGAAGTGATCCAAATATCACACTATCCCAGGGTCCAGCCATGCTTCCCAATGACCTCCCTGGCTACAGAATTTTCCAGATCATCAATTTCAGATGTTACCTCTAAAAAACAAAAGCATTGTCATTGAATCCATAAAAGTACACTAGACGCACATGTGTAACTGAATAGGAGCAGCTGTGGATTCAGGGAACTGAGTCTGAACCTCCCCTTTCTGAGGTCACAGATGGGCAGAAAGAAGAAAACTTGCTGTGAACTGGAGAGAAGACCTTCCTCCCATCAGATTACAGGGGGAGTTCCCAGGAGAGGGTCCTATTTCCCCTCGGCAACCCCCCACCCACACACCTACCTGGTAAAGGTTCAGGGTCTCCATCTTCCTCCCTGTTCCCTGTGTAATATGGCAGCCTAGTCACTGAGTCATTGGACAGGTGACCTGGTGGGGAGAAACACAGTCCAGATGGAAGAACAAGCTTTCCCACGGTAGGAGGCCCTGGGCCACAGTTCAAGAGACACCTTGAGGCTCATAATTGCAGAGAGGCTTGGGGCAGCTGCCCAGGGGGTGCTGACTGTGTGGGGGAGGCTGCTGGCTGGGTCTGTCCTTGCTGATGACCATCCACAGCTACCGCATGCACACCGGGGCAGGTGAGCGGCATACCTGGACTGTCCACCAGGTCCACGTTCTCTGGTTGTACGAGGTAATCAATCTCCTGGTACAAGGCCTCACCCATGGCATCTTAAAAAGCAGATAAGGCTGGGAAAGCGGCGTAAGCTAAGGCAGGGCCCTGGCGGGGCTCCCTTTACAAAGGCACCTCAGCTTTGGTGCTTGCTAAGCTCACCACTCAGAGCCCCTCAGGGCTGCTGGGCCCCCTTCTGAGACCTGTGCCCTTTGGGAACACAACCAGGTTTCTGACCCTGATCTTGGTCCTCCTGTCAATTTCTACTGACACTGTTCACAGTGGAAGCAGCAGTTTTGACAGACCACACATTCAGCCTGGGACCAAGGGGTCAGTTCTTCCAAACCTTGAAGGCTACCGTAGACCAGGTGGAGTTGTGCCAGGTGATGAGGATGGAGACTTTTCTTGATAGCACACCTTGCTCCGTACCCTCCCCACTCCTTTGCAGACCATTTGGCATCCCTAAGGCCCACCTTGGTGCTCTGCCCTGCGCCGGTGCAGCTGGATCCCCAGGATGGTGAGGACCAGGAGGAGGAGCGCCCCCAGGATGATGCAGAGGATCCCAGGAAGGGAGAGGACGCCGGCGACAGCAGCTGTGCCCGAACTGGTGTCTGGGGAGAGAGGGGCCAGGAGCCTTCAGGGGACTCAGAGGCCCAGGAGAGCCCTTCTTATCCTGGCCGCACCCTGAGCACCCGGGGCCATGAAGTCAGCATTCAGACACAGCGAGGCTGCTGGGACACCAGGGGGGGACTGACCCAGGTCCTGCCCCAAGCGTGGTAAATGCCCTCTGAGTCTGGTTTGCCAGGATTGTTATTAACTGAAAGGTGTCAGCGTTGGGGCATCCACCTGCCCCACTCTATAGGACTGCAAACATGGGGTCATCAGGCCCTTCCTATACGCATAGGTTAATTTTGCCAGAAATATGTAGATTCTATCGTTGAATTTAAAGCAGGTCCCGGAAAACATGTGAGCCTCCTTGCTCCTGGGGCTCAGAGCAGAACCACTTACTTGGCCGGGTCGGGGGAAGCGTTGTCCTCTCCCCTGCAGAGGAGAGAAGGAGAGGGGGACCACGCTAGGAGCTGGGGGCAGGGGCACAGGTGCCCGCCCACCACCTGCACATAGTGCCTCCCCAGATACCAGGAGACCAGACACTCGCCTGCCCGGGAGGCAGCGCCCCGCACAGCAGGGGCATCAGGGACGGGAACAGCCTGGGCCCCACTCACCGGAGCACTGCACCCCGGCGTCCTCCTCGTGTTTGCAGTCGCTCTGGCCCCAGGGCTGCGCCGAGCAGGCCCACAGGGAGGGCTCGCGGCCCCCGCACTGCACCTCGTCCAGCCAGATGCTCCCGTTTCCTGGACCAAAGGCCGCCTGCGGCAGGGCACGCAGGGCAGAGCCACAGCCCAGCTGCTGACACACCACCTCGGCCTCGGCCAGGCCCCAGGAGTCGTCGCACACGGTGCCCCAGGAGCCGGCGTGCCACACCTCCACGCGCCCCTCGCATGCCGAGTCTCCCCCGCTGAGCCGCAGCTTGTCTTTGTCTGGAAAGGCACAGCGCCCTCTCTTACCTCCCCTGGGGTGGGCGACGGAGCCCCTGGGCGCCGGCGGGGAGGAAGGGGGGCTGGCGTACCTGTGCAGGGGGCGGCCGCGGGGCAGCTCTGGGCTGCGGAAGCTGACTGAGGAGCAGCGCTGCGTCAGGGACACCTGGGGTGTCTTGTCCCGAACAAGGCCTCCTAAGGCCCCTGGTTCAGTCCCACGGACAAGTGAAAACACGGGCTTCATGACCACCTAGTGGGCCGAGTTATGGGACGGTTCCCTGGATCTAGCTCTTCTCACCAGCTGACAGGGTTTCATCTGTTTACTTGTGTGTCACTCCGCACATTCCCAAGACACACACACACACACACACACACACACACACACACACACACACACACACACACCCTGAAAGAGAGCTCCTTCCCCTCTATGTCTGCCGAGAGCCCTGTGCCTGGCACGCTCACTCATTCATTCGGGCATTGAGAATCCTCCATGAACGTTGTGTGCAGGCGTGCTGTACATACTTACGGAATGAACGAATTGATGAAAAAAATCGAGAGAAATCAACTTCGTTTAGATTCTTGCTAATCACTAAAACAGTAATCTGCCTCTTAATTTAGTAACGACTTCCAGCATGGAGGACATCTCCAGCACGTTATTTCTCACTCTTTAGCCTTCACAGCTTCTCAGAAGGCCGGTGTACTTTCACCAACACCTTCTCTGAGACTTCCATTCTGGGGTCTACTATCTACCCAAACATGCCCCCATCAGAAGGGTTCTTGTTAGACAGTCAGTGGCACACGAGGACCTCTCATGGGCACTTGGCACTTCTCATTTCCCTGGTGGACTCATATCTATTAACAGTTGTGACTACCCCTCCTTTCCTTAAATACCTGCCAAATATTTAGAGGAGGGAACAGCTAGTAACAAGGTGCTGAGAACACACACGGATGGCTCACGGGAAGGACCATTACTTTCTGTCTGGTGAGGAACTGAGGCCTGAAGGTAGACATGTGTGTCCCCCTTACATGCCTCCTGTCAGCCGGTTTTGTGAACAGTCAATGTACAAACCGACTGCGTGGAAGGTGGTGTGAGAGGAGGGCAGAGAGGGGAGCAGGGGACAGATCGTGATGGCCTTGGCAACAAGGTGAGAAATGTGCATTGTCTCTCAGCTTGGATAGGAAAGCACCTGGCTTATACACAGAAAAGGAGACACAAACTGATTTTTTAAACTTCACTCTGAGTGACAGAGAAAGATACATATAGGAGAGAAAGACTGGGCCTAGGTGCCCACTGGAAAAGTTGGAATAATCCAGGGAGATGGTGATCTTTCCTGGACGAAGTGGCAGTAATGATGGCCGATGGGAAGGAAGAGGACACAGTGGATGTCAGGTCAACAGGACTTGCTGTTGTGCTGGAAGTGAGCGAGGGAAACTTGAGTCCTGTGTGTTGAGCTTAGGTGGCTGAGGAGTGGCGGTGACATTTCCTGCAGTGAGGAATGTGGTGGGGAGCAAAGCGAGGAGCAGGAATGTGGAGGGGGTCAGACGTCCTCCTTGGACTAAAGTTGGCCACTGACAGTCATGTGGAGCTGCCACACAGGAACGGGATAGATGGGTTTTGAGTTAGAGGCAAAAATGAGTGCTGAATGTACATATTCCAGAGTTGTCTCTGCACAGCTGTGGTTCGTGGAAGGCCTTGGTTGGGGGGTTCCAGGGAGGAAGGGCAGCTAGTGTGATGGGAGCGCTGGGTGTGTGAGGCCCAGAGGCTGAGCCCAGGGCCCCTACCCCAGAGGGGTCAGAGCAACAGGCAATGAGGAGGAGTAGGAATGTCAGGAGGGACCGTGGCTGTCGGGAGGAAAAACCATGGGGAAGAAAGAGGGGTCTCCCTGCTAGGTGATGCTGAAAGGTCAGTGATAAGGAGGAGAGCGAAGCCTGCCGGTTCCTGTCCTCACCCATTCCGAGGACGCTGGCCAGCAGCGCTGTCCTGCATGTGTTCAGAGCAGCTGGAGACACACAGCTGTGGGGACAGCGAGGACCATGGACCATGCTTCTGGAAATGTGGTTGAGGACGGGAGGGGACATGGAGGGGAGTGGCCAGGGGGCAGGAGGATCAAGGAAAACTGCGTTTGTTCCTGGTTTCTAGGACGTTAGAGGCCCCAGCCTACGTGAACCCTAGTGGGGAGAATGCGCACTGCCAGGAAACAGGCATCACTGGGTGTGAGACATCGACAAGGAGATGCCATTAGGCGCTGCAGCCCACGTGGAAGAGCTGGTCCAATGAGAACTGTGGCCTCTGACCCCGGAGGCCAGAAAGGGTGGAGTCTGCTCGCAACCCTGAGCCAGAGGATTTGGGGACAGGAAGGTGAGCTGTTCAGGCTGACTCTTGCCACTTCTCAGTAAGGGAATGGTCGGTGAGGATCAGGTGTAGACATTGTTGCAAGAGCAGAAAATGTGTAAAAACTAACTTCAAAGAGAGGGCAAGCACCATGCTGGAGTTTCCCAATGGGAACCATGGGGCCCTGTGGGGTGCACAGTGCAGTGGTGCCCCTGGATTCAGGAGGAGCCTTACAATGGGACTGTGTGCTCCCTTCTGACTTTCCTTTAGTCCAGTGCAGGAGGGATTCCTTACGCAGCTGACCTTGCCCAGGACTGACTGTGGCAGGTGAGGCAGACGGAGAAGCAGCAAGGGAGTTGAAGGCAGTTGCAGGGGAATGATTACAGTGTTGGCTCATATTCTCTGATTTGGTCAAGGAAACAATGTGTAGATAGGAGGAGAATAGAAAGTAAGAAAAACTGAATGAGGAAAAGATTGGGCCCCAACGTGTGAATGAAAAGTTAGTGGTAACTGGCCTTAGTGGTCATGAGCCATCAGGACGCAGGCCTCGGGCAGAGTTGGTGTGAAGCAGTCAAGATGCACCTGCACAGCTGCTGAGGGTGTGCAGCGTGAACGCAGCAAGAGGGGGAAAGGCAGGAAGGTGCTTAGAAACAGGAACGCAGTGAACCGAGGGGCAAGATGGGGTCTCAGGTGTGGTAAGGGTGGTGACGGGGCTCCTGGTGGCTCCGGCAGTGAGGCAGGGATGAGAGCTGCGGGCTGGTGCTCAGTCCCCGAGGGACATGGCGGGGAGATCAGAAGGCGGGTGATGACAGCACCAAGCAGAAGTAGGGGCTGGGATGGCCTCGTGGGGAGTTTCAAGGTCCTGATGCTAAGAAGGAGCAGAGGGAGGAGTGCTGGCAATGACGACTGAGCAAGGATCCCCACTCCCAACTGGGTAGAGACAAGTGTGCTGATGGAAGCATGCCGCCTGTGGTTGGTGGGGAACCAGTGTTTTCAAGCGGAAGTCAGGCATTGGAGCCGTCATGACAGTGAAGGGGCTTGAGGTGATGAGGAGTTTGGCAATGGTGTTCTCCCAATCCCAGCGGGCTGCACAGAAGATTTGGGAGAGAGGCGTGAGAGGAGCAGAGAAGCACAGAGAGGCAAGGGGACAGGTGCGAGGATGAGGCACCAGCCGGGACTGGGGTCCCAGGGCCTCTGGGCAGAGGCCGGGTCGAGCAGAAAGATGTCGGGACACGAGGTATCTGACCTGCAGCAGTTCCCATGATGCCCCGGTCCAGAAACAAACAGGTTCCCCCTTAACAGGACTGTTTCCCGGGTGCTGTCTGTTAGGGTCTCCAGCCCTGCTCCCCACCCCGGGGTGTCCAGAGTGCTCTCCTCATCCTCTCCCTGCTCTGGCCCTGATGGAATTTCTCCTTGCCCCAAGTGCACCCTGCTTCCTCCTTCCTCAGGGTCTACACCGCCCACGTGCTCTTCCCACTCTCTTCCTTTAAGGATCTCTTGCCCCTCCTTCAGGACTCCCTCGGAATAGGATTTCTTCTCTTCCCCCAGGACACACTTGAAGAGCACCTCCTCATCTTCACAGTGCTGGGAATTGCTGCCTAATGAGTGTTTTCAGCCCTGTGCTGTGTGCTCTGTCGTGGCGGTGCCTACGTGTCTCCTCTTCCCCGCACCTTGAAAATAAATTTGTGCCTACAGGGCCCTCCATTACTACCTATCATCAGACTGACTTGAGAAGAGGTCTGACTGGTATAGACACATTTCAGAGTGAAATACCATGAGCTTTAGATGCAAGGAGCAGGACTGATCCCACCTCAGCCCCTTACTGACTTGAAGGTGTTGGGCATACCTCTGACTGCACCTCACCAATTAGGATTTCCTTACACCGTTTATCACAGTATATTACTCATGCTCCCATACGACCAGTGCAGTCTCCCTGGTATTTTTCAGTAAACTGCTATCAGCAGAGGTCTCCTCGTGTTTCTTTTGAAACAAGATTGGGACATGTGGACTAAATAACCATTCAAAATTCATTATGGAGTCTTATCTGAAACTCATCAGTGAGATTTGAAAGTATAAAATATAACTCACAACATCCTACATCTTGGGGATGGACACACAGACACAGACAGAAAGTCACCTTCACACGTGATATAAGCCTCTTCCTTTGCAGAGCATGAGGTGTGTTTCCAAGGGTCGGAAGGACATTGCCAGAGAGAGAAATCACTTTTCCGACACTGGATTTGATCCACCCACCGGGGTCTAGAACCAGCCCTGTCAACTTCAGAAGAGCTGAGCATCCCCCTGTCCCCACAGCCAAGCTGTCTGCAGACAATGGACACGGTCGTGGCATCCATGAGGCTGTGGCAGACGCTGCCCCAGGTCCCGTTGTAGAAGACTTCCAGCCACCCGGCACACCCGTGGTCCTCGCTCACCATCCTGAGGGCCAGGAACTCTAAAATTGAAAGGGTGGGAGCACAGGGCACAGTGAGCATTCCGCTCAGCACCCTGGGCTTTTCTCCATGCCAGAGACTATAAACTTGCTCCACTGACTCTGCTGAGGAGGCACTCACTGCGGGGAAGACCGACACGTGACTCCCCACTACCCGACTGTCCATTTGTGTCTATTTCACCCCAAAGGTGTAGTGGAATATGGACCGGAAGGAACGCTGGCCTGGGCACTCTGCACAGAGGGAAAGCTGGGCCCTGCTTCCTGACAACTTCTGACGGCGCATGGAAAACGGAGTGTGCATAGTGGGGCAGCTGGCAGAATGGCGCACCCCGAAGGTGTCTGCACCCTCCTCCCTGGAGCCCGTGCACGTGTTAGCTTACATGGTAGGGGGTCTCTGCAGATGTGAGAAAGGGGGGATGGTGCGATCAGCCTGGAATGTCGGGGATTATCCCGCCGAGGCAATCTAACTCCATTCTAGACCCACTATCCTTCAAGTGGACCTTTCCCAGCTTCCGCCAGACGGAGAGGGATGGGGAGGTGGGGCCAGGGGGAGGCCGCGCTGTCAGCTTGACCGGAATTAAGGCAACTCCAAGCCAGACAAGCACACGCCCTTGCGAGGCTAGAAAAGGCAGGGAACGCATCACCCCTGGAGCTCAGAGAGAACGCAGCCCTGCCACCCCTTGAGTTTAGGCCAGTGAGCCCCTTGTTGGACTCCCCATGGGCCTGGGCAAATTTGTTCGTGGTGTTTAAAGCCACTGATTAGCCAGTCATTCGTTTCAACAGCAACGGGATCTCCCGTTTTCCTCCCACAGGCAGTGAAGAGCAGGCCCTGCCCCACGATGGCATCGGTACCGACGACTGGGTCAGGAGAGGCGCCGAAGGAGGGCCAGCACAGGTACTGCCAGGGGAGCTAAGGTCCCTAGTGGCCACGGTCCTGGACAGACACGCACTGTACAGGGAGGCACCCTCTGCTGTGGCGCTTCAGCAAGCAGCCCCGGGCCCAGCCCCAGCTCCTCCCCGCGGGGGCCTGGCGGGCAGACCTGAGCAGACGACCCCTGCGTCCTCCTTGTGCCTGCAGTCGTGCCGCCCCCAGCCCAGCGAAGGGCACCTCCACACGTGGGACTCGTTCCCTGCGCAGTCCAGCTCGTCCAGCCAGATGGGCCCTGAGCCCCTCCCGAAGTGAGCAGATCCGGTGGCATTTATGGCGTCTCCGCAGCCCAGCTGTCTGCACACCACGCGGGCGTCTCTCAGGTCCCAGCGGTCATCGCAGACGGTGCCCCAGAGGCCCTGGCGCAGGAGCTCCACTCTCCCGGCGCAGCGCCCGCCCCCGTCCGCCAGGCGCAGCTGTCTACTGTCTGAGGAGACAGAGCCAGGCGATGGGCATCTCACAGGCACCGAGAGGGCCCTCTGGCCGGGTGGGGCGGGGCCCTCACCTGAGCAGTTAGCAGTGCGCTCCTCTGAGGCTGCAGAGTCCGCTGGGTCGGACGCGGAGTCTTTGCACTGGGGCCACGCCTGGGTCTGGTTTCCTGCAGAAGCAGCACCATCAGAGGGCGTGAGGGCAGGAGGTTGAGTTAAAGTAGACAATACCTCGCGATGGGGTCCCAGAGGAAGCTGGAACAGTAGAGATGTCTTCATAATTTTACAGTTCACCTTTCTATGGAGATTCTGCTCCTGATAGGGCCAAAACTTCTGTTGTAAGCCATGCATTGCAGTAGGAATGGGTGAGAAAGTGGGACTATAGCAATGCTGCTTGAAAGTGTTGTAGATACCAAGGCAGTGAGAATATTTGGAACCAAGCTCTCAGAGAGGAAGAGGGTGCAGGCGAGCCACTCTCCCCTTCAGGCCTTTGTCAATTCAGAGGTTGTAGCTGTGGCCCCAAAAGCTCAGCAGCGGTTTTCCCAGACTCACAGGCTCAGGGGTCTGAAAATACAATTCAGGGTCAGTCAAGGAGAGGAGCTTTTTTAAAAAGCCTTGTGCCATAGAAGGAAGCATGAACTCTAGACCAATTGTTGATCACAGGGATGGACATCCCCCTCAAATCACTTCACTTCCTTTAAATGAAGTGATCTAGTCATTACTCAGAGGCCTGGAGGAACCAAAATAAAATCTTTCTGAATGAGTTCTGCCCTTTTTCATCTCTAATGGATGCCAGTCGAAAATACCCAGGCATAATAGAGAAGAGATGTGACAAAATCCAGGAGGAAAAAGATGCATTAGAAAGAAATTTACAAGACATGCAGCTATTTGGGTTACTTGACAGGAGTTTAAATTACCATGATTGAAATGTTCAAGAATTAAAAAACAAGGGAGTATTTCAGCAGAAAAGTAATAACAAAGAATCAAATAAAAATTTTAGAACTGAAAAGTCATTACTCAAAATAAAAACTCAACGGATGAATTATTGGTACATTAGATCAACAAGACAGAAATAAGTTGAAAATCAAAAGACAATACACAGATTGATGCAAATCCAAGAAAGATGAAAAATTTAAAAAGGCATAAAGACATGCAGACAAGGTCTAATGTTCATATATTATACTAAGTCTTAGATATATAAAGCTACAATGGACAGACCAAAGGTAGACATTTTAAGATCCACAATCACCTATTTCATGCACCTTGATGGTTTTTAAGTATATCCACAAAATATTTGATATTGCATCCTTTGAGAGGTGAGGCCTGTGCCTCCTTCCCTTGAATCTTTCTGACCTTCATGAGTTGCTTGTGAGTGATAGAATGCAGTGAAGGTAACACTTACTTGACTTGCAAAACGAGGTCAGAAAAGGCATGGAGCCTCCCCTGAAATTACTTAGAACCCTTACTTTAAGGGAAGTCCACCCTGTTAAGACTATCATGCTGGGGAGATTATCATATGCAGATTGTCTGGTCAACAGCCCAGCAGCCATGTTAGTGAACCCGCCTGGATTCCCACCTCAGGTGAGTCTTCAGATGACTTCAACCCCAGCTGGCGTCTGACTGCAACCTCATGAGAGACCCCAAGAGAGAACGGCCAGCCTGAGCCCTTCCAAAATTCCAGTAAAAATCAAAACGGGATTGAGCTGTTAAGTTTGGGGAGAAATTTTGTTCTATGACAATAGGAACCAGAGCACTTTTATCTACCATATTAGTAAGTATTTACTAAAGACAAAGTAAATGTGTGTCTTCAAAAGAATTTGTTGTATGCATGTTCATAGCACCCATATCCGTAAATGCCCAAAACTGTTATGTCACCTAAAACACATGCTGTTGCTTTTGGAACAAGTAACCGGCAGAAGCTGGAAGGGCTCAAGAAGATTGTTAGCAGAAACCTGATGGGTTTAGGCAATGCTGTCAGTGAGGCTTAAAGGAGGTGAGGAAAATAAGACTGGAAGCCGGAGGGAAAATTAACAGGGTTGCTTTCAGGAACTAGATTTTTGAAGTTATTCGTTTTGCAGCAATAATGCCCAGAAAACATCTTCTCTCCATCTCAGTAACTCGTAGAGGAAACCAGCAAAACCAGTCAGTAAATATTTAGAATATTCAAATGGTGATTTAGCAAATATGCACCTCAAAACCATAGAAGACACATCATCCCAAGAGCATACAGGTCATTTCCCAAGGCTGGTCAAGTGTTACACAAAAAAAGGAAATCCAAAGTTTTCAAAGGGTTGTAATCATTTTGTAAAAATGCTTTTTGTCCAAAATAGAATTAAGCTAGAAACAAGCAAAAGACAAATAGTAAGATCAACTATAATGAGGTATAATTCTCATGCAGTAAAATACATTAGTTTAAAAAGTACATTTAAATAAGTTTTGACAATTGTTACATGCCAGTATAAGCATCACCATGATTAAAATACAGAGCATATGGATGACTCCAACAAGTTCTCATATGGTTTCTGTAATGAATAAAAGCTCACAAACCTAGCCCCAGGCATATATTGATCTGTGTTCTAACATAACAGATTAGTTTTATGTTTTCTAGAATTTAGTAATGCATACAATGGATGCTCCTTTGTGTATGGCTTCCTTCACTCAGCATGTTTTAAGGTTTATCTATGTAGTTGAATTTATCAGAAGTTTAGTCTATTGTTAAAAAGTCTTCTATTGTATGACTATACCTTCATTTGTTAATGAAAATTTGAGTGGTTTATCATTTTTTGCTCTTGAAAAAAATTGCTGTGACTTTCTTGCCTAAATTTCCTGTGGACATAAAAAATGAAATCTGACACCTATCTCCTACAAAAACCGGTTCCAGAAGGACTGCACAATTATGTGGGAAATAAAAATGGTTAAGCTTCTACAAGATGCTGCAGGAGAACATCTTCAGGATCTTAGGATAAACAAAGTTCTCCTTAAAAGGATATAAGAAGCACTATGTTCAAAAGAAAAAGTTAGTAAACTGTTCTTGGTTACAATGAAGAACTTGGCTCATCAACAAACACCATTAAAAGAATAAAATGAAAATAAATAAAATAACACCATTAAAAATAAAAAGACAATATGAAACACCCCAAATAACTATATAGATACTTGCTTCAAATATCATTGTTAGGATTATTTGTAACATTGCAATTCGTAATGATCAAGAACTGGAAACAACTCACAACTCCACCATTAGGAGAATGAACCAATGGCTGTGCAATGGAATATTTTATAATACAAATAAATGAGGCGTTTTTACAAGCAACTACATGGGTGAATCACAAACATACAAACATAAGGAAACACACTGTGTGGTTTTATATAAGGCTCAAAGGAGGAAAAATATTCTATAGCACAGGGAGACTGCTTTTCTTCAGACAGGAGGGTGAGCACAGTGACTGGTGGGGAATGCATGTGCGGCTGGGATGCTGTTGCTGACCTCCATGTGGATCTGGTTGGGGTGACACCATCATGTTTATGTTCTTATGATTCATTGGGCTATATTTATACTTATGACTTACACACTTTCTCTATGAATTGTTCTCAGATATATTTAAACAGTAGTGTTTATTTTTAAAGATGTTACCTCTCTTAATGTTTCTTGCCCTGACCTGAAAGACAAATCAACAATGAAAAGAACCTATTTTACCACTGACTGTCTCACTTCTGAAGCCGCCCTTCCACACTCTCCGCTCTCAGGGACGGTCCACTCAAGGCGCCCCCTGAGAACCAGTTTGCGTGCCCTCTCACCTGAGCAGATCACAGAGGCCGTGTCTCCATGTGGACAGGCAGGAGCGCCCAGCGCAGTCACAGGGCAACTCCACAGGAAGGACTCGGCGCCGGAGCAGTGAAATCGAGCTTTCCAGATCCGATCGCCTCCGTCCGCAGGGTGTGCTACCTTGGGGGCAGAGATGGCCACTCCACAGCCCAGCTGGCGACAAACAACATTGGCATCGGCCTCATCCCAGTGGGAGGCACAGAGCGTTTTCCAGTGTCCGAAAATATTCATCTCCACTTGTCCCTCACACTGAGAGGTGCCATTTGCCATGAGCCGCACTTCTGTGTATGCTGGAAGGAGAAGACTGGATTTCAGCCACATCTCATCTTTTTCTACCCCAGCAGAGGATGCAGGGGGGTTAATGACCTGCTCTGCCTCTCACCTGAACAGACAACATGAACAGCCCCACGATGGTGGCAGGTGCCTCCCGGACAGGGCACTCGGGGGCACGTCCAGAGCTCAGGCTCCTGCCCCTCACACCTGAACTGTTCTGCCCAGACTCGTCCATCTGACTCTCTGAAGGGCACATCCCCCAGGACAGACACGGCCTTGCCACACTCCAGCTCGGCACAGATGACCTGTGCACTGGGTAGCGTAAAGTTCCCATCGGACAGTGGAGTCCAGGCTTCTCCAGAATGCAGTTCTACTCGCCCTGAGCACGGCCCATCCCCTCCAACCAGACGCACAAATCCTAAGAGAAAAAAATCAACAGTGAGTGCTGGTGATCCTGGCTTGGCAATCAGAAATGACACGTCATGGACAATGATATGAAAGATTTTCTTTTCCCGGGAATGGATAGAGGATTTAACAGTTATTGTCAGAATGGGACTTCCGTGAGTGAGTTTCTGAAGAGATTGTTTGGAATGGCTGAATACCAGGAATATATGTTTGGGGGTTGGTTAGAGAAGTGAATTATTTCTTCATCTAGGAACCTGGGTCTAAGAAATCTGCACAACCTGTGGGAATTCAAACTGGAGTGCAGAGATATGAAGATCAGAACCAACCGGAGGGATGTGGGCTATGACATGGTAGAGACCTATGAGCCAGACAAGGTTAGAAAGCCATCCTGAGACATATGGGGCTCAAATTCTGATCAACTGTCTCTCCCGGGAGCCAGTTCTCGAGTGACTGAGAGTGGGAACAATCCTGAGGCTGATACGCGAGTGCCTGACAACCTGTAGACTCTGGCTAAAGGGAGGAAATACAGACATTATAACTAATCCTTTTAGGGTTTCAAATTTAACTTTTCTGACAATTTCTTATGACAAAATTTTCCATGAATTTCTTAGGTGACCTAAACAGGAAAGAAGATGAGTCTGGATGTTTAGAAAGCTCAGAGTCCTGGGAGAGGGAGAGGGTAGTCCAAGCCATCTCTCTTGAAATCCTAGGGTATAGGTATAGCCACTTCCCACTAGTATCAAAAAGACAAGATATAAGAAGTATTGGAGAGGATTTGCAGAAAAAGGAACCCTTATGAACTGTTAGTGAGAAAGTTAACTCGTGCAGCCACTATGAAAACCATATGGAAGTTCCTCAAAAAAATAAAAATACAAATACCATACAATCTGGTAATTCCACTTCTGGGTATTAGCCCAAAGAAAATGAAAACACTAATTTGAAGATATTTGTATCCCTGTATTTACTGCAGCATTAGTCACATAGCCAAGATATGGAAGCAATTTAAGTGTCTGTCAATAGATGAATGAATAAAGAAGCTGTGGTATAATATGTGGTGGAATATTACTCAGCCATAAAAAAGAATGAACACTTGCCATTCATAACAACATGGATGAAACCTGAGGATATTATGCTAAGTGAAATAAATCAGGCAGAGAAAGCCAAATATCATAAGATTTCACATTTATGTGGAATTTAGAAGACAAAAAAAATCCACAAACTAACAACCAAAACTCATAAATAGACTCTTAAATACAGAAAACAGCAAACTGGTAGTTGCCAGAGGGGAGGGTGGGTGGGTATGGGTGAAAGATGTGAATGGGATTAAGAGGTACACACTTCCAGTTATAAAATAAATAAGTCCATGAGAATGAAATGTATAGCATAGGGAATATAGTCAATATGTTGTAATAACTTTGTATGGTAGCAGATGATCACTCCACTTATCATAGTGTTTTGTAATGTATATAAATGTCAAATCACTATGTTGTACATCTGAAACTAATATAATATTATGTCACCTATATTTTAATTAAAAATTTTGTCTTAAACATCACAACTTAATAATTAATTTATAAATGATAACATAATTATAATTAAACAGTCTCATTTTGACACTGTACATAAAAATATAAATACCTAGGTATTACAAATATGTAAAACTTGTGTTATTCTCTATTATTTTCAGTTTGCATAAAGTATTTCATAACTAAAAATTAAATGTAGACTTTCTTTTCAACATACACACAAAAATAAGTATAACCACCTTCCAATCTGTATTTTCTTTAATTTCCTTCATCAGTGTTTTATAACTTTTTACATTTTAAAAGTATAATCATTAACAACAGATGCAGAAATTAAAAAGATGATTGCATTACCTGACAAGGTCTTTAACCCATTTGTATGAAACATAAAAATAAAGCAGAAAACAAAAAAAAAACCTAGAAAAAAATTAACAAAGGGAACTTCTAAGACTAAAATATAATATCTGGAATGAAAAATTATCTGAATTAACTAGCAATTAGACACTGCAGAATTTTTAAAAATGTGAAATTAAACACAGAGCAAAAAAGTTTTTTCTCTGAAAAAGAAAAAAGGCAGAAAAATATGAAACTCAGTGACAAGTAGGATAATATCAAACCATATAAAATATATGTATTTGGAGATTTAGAAGTAAGGACGAATAGAAAAAATATATTTGAACTTGCTATTTTTGAATATGGAATTTTTCCAAATTTAATGAGAACTGTAAACCACTGATCTAAAAAGCTAAACAAACCCCAAACCAGGTTACTATAAGGAAAAAACACCTCAGGGCAGTTGATAATGTAATTGCTGAAATCCAGTTACAAAGAAAAAAAAATCTTAAAAGCAGCCATAGAAAATTGACACAATTTTTAGAAGGAAACAAAATAAGTATTACTGACGTCTTCTTAGAGTCAGCATGAGCCAGATGACAATGTTTAAAGTACTGGAGGGAAGGTCAACCTAGAATTCAATCACCCATGAAAAAATACAAATGAAAATAAAATAAAATCTCCTTTCAAAACAGATGAAAATAAACACATTTTCAGATAAACTATGATACAATTTAGGCCACCAACCCTGCATTACTCAAAAATGTTACAGAAAACTCCACAAGTTAAAGGAAAATAATAACAGATGAAATCTTGGATCTACCCAAAGCTATAAAGACTGCTGTAAATGATAAATCTGTGGATAAATAGCTCTTAATTTTTGTGGCCAACCCTGAGGCACCAGTGGCCAAAACAAAGTTCCAACCCTTTAATAAATTTTTCAAGTAAAACCTATTAAAAGGGTCAGAAAAGGTATGTCCTGCAAGCACTAATCAAAGAGAGCTTTGGTATCTGTGAATAATAGACAAAGTAAGACTGTAGGACAAGGAATATATTCAGAGAGAAAGAAGAAACATTTCATGATGATAACATACAAAAGAAATTATGTAACATCAAAATTAGTGGGATACAGCTAAAGCAGTTCTAAGAAGAAAATTTAGAGCCATCGTGAGTCCTTGATACACACAGTTGAACAGAAAAGAAAAACTGAATGTAAATGATCTAAGATACCATCTCAACGATAGCCATAACAGAAAATCATGATCAACAAAGAACATAAAACAGAAATCAATGAAATAGAAAGTAAATACACAATAAGAAAATCAACAGTCACTTGGTGATTCTTTTTAAGTGGTCAATAAAACTGATTATCCTCTAACAAAACCAATCAACAAAAAGGAAAGAATATACAAATTAACAATATAAGGAAAGAAAATGGGGATAATATTAAGGTACTACCAACATTTAAAAGATAGTGAGATATGAACGAATTTTATTCTAATTTGAAAAAGGTATATACAATAGTTTGAGTCCTTGAAAACCAATTGCTTGAAAAGCATAACTTACCAAAGCTGATACAAAAGAAATAGAAAATCTGAGTAGTCCTATATTTCTTAAAGAAATAGATTCCACATTATAAAAACTTTCCACAAAGAAAATTGTAAGTTTCAAATGCCAGGGCTTCCACGGAGCCCAGAAACTACTCTTGTATCAAGACAAAGGAAGAGAAGGAGGACGCGAGCAGGCAGAAGGTCCACAACACAGGCTGCAGTTGTGAGCTGACCATCTTCTGTCCCTACCCCACCGCCTGCCATCAGGTGGGTCCTCCCCTCCTTTCTGTGCTGCACTCAGTACCACAGCCTTGCTCAGTTGTGAAGGCCCTCCTGAATCATTCTCCTGAACCCCGAGATCCTCTCTTTATTTCAAACAAGCTCCTATACATTCCTCACAGAGCACTGTTTCTTCCTCTGCATTTACCTAAACACAACAGTTCACACCCTACAATCAACTGAAAAGGCTGAGATTTCTCTCCCATACCCCTTTCCTAAAATTGAGAAGAAGGAATTCCAAGAATTCACTTTACATTTAAAAACTGAAAAGGCATGCTTTTCTATTTTTTTTGAAGTATAGTTAATATACAATATTATCTTAGTTTCAGGTATACAACATAGTGTTTTGACAATTACACACATAACTACATGCTCGTCACAAGTGTAGTTACCATCTGTCAACATACAAAGATATTACAACATACAAAGATATGTACAACAACATACAAAGACAATATTAGTGACTATATTCTCTATGCTGCACTTTTATCCTCTTGATTTATTTATTTTATAATTGGAATTTTTTTAACCTCTTTATCCTGTTCTTCTATTTCACATACTCCCTTTCCCCATGGCAACCACCAGTCTCTTCTCTGTGTCCATCGGTCTATTTCTGCTTTGCTCATTTTTTGCTTGTGAAATCATATGGTTTTTCTATTCTTATCTATTCTACATCAACACCGCTTTGACTTCCATCCACATCACTAAAATATGATAAGGAAAAGACAGGTGGAGGCACAGGAAACTGATGATCAAAAAGATTACTACAGGAAAACTGGGACAGTTGGTAAAAATATGAGAGCTTAGGTTAAAACAATGGTAGTTGGGAACTAAAAATCATCATCAATGTTTAGATGCCTTTGAGTAATCTCAAACTTTTTATCTTTAATTGTATATTAACTGGAATTAATATCAAGAACATCAATTTCCTCAAGAATGTTTCCTTCAAAACATTAGAAGTTCCAACATCACCCACTCCCATTTTTACTCAGATGCTGAATTATCAAAATATGACAGGTCCCCCTGTAGTGTTTCCAGTCCATACCAGGATGAGGGCACGGTGACAGTAAGGAATGTTACCTGATATGTTAGAAAACAGGTTTTCCTAAAACAAAAACTCTTAACAGAAGGTAGTAAACTCAAATGCCCTTTAACAACAATTCTTTTTCAATAATATTAAATAAAGTGGATGGAAGGGAACTTTTAAGGTGATAGATAGATTTATGGCACAGATTGTGGGGATGGTATTACAGACACGTATTTATTTTCAAACTCAAGTGTATGCATTAAATATGGATAGCTTTTTGTGCATCAATCATACCTCAATAAAGCAGCTTTTAAAGAACATAATTGTGTTTTATGGGCCTGAATTACTGTCATCAGAGATCTACTATCAGTGACATTTGAAAAGAACAGTTTTCCTGTGACCTCCCCTGTGCAGAACTCAAAAAAGCTGACTGGCTCTGGGGTCGGGCCATTGGGCTATAAAGACCTATTGTACTCAAGTCTCCCTCGTCCCACCGTCCCTTCAGATGGGATGGCCCTTTTCTACAGCCCAACCACCTACCTTAGGGAATTCACTGTGATTATCTGTTAATCGCTTCCTCAAAGTCAAGCTGTTCTGATGGCATTGATGTCTTGGACTAACCACCCACTGTGATAACAAGTGGACACAGCTCTGGCAAATACCGAGACCACCCATTCCCACTCTAATCTCCTCGCTGTCTTCCTGCCTGGCCCCAGAGGCCACGCACACTAAGTACAGAGGCTCTCCTGGCCTCACTGATCTGGGCATTTACTTTGATCTGGCTACTATATTGTAAATTTTAAAACTTTATATTTTTCTGCTGCCTCAACATCCCCACGAACAGACTGTAAGCATCCCCGGGCAACCAGGTGCACCAATGTGGTCAAGCTGACCCCTGCCACCTGCCCCCTTCATACCCTCCCCTGACTGTGACCAAGTAACACTGGGATGCACCAGTGAGGTTCCCTATCCCTTCGCGCATGCGCTCCACCCTGAACCTGACCAAGCCCTTGCCCACAGGGCTTCTCTCTCTCAGCTCCCCACCTGCATGGATAAGCCTCTCCCTTTGGCGATTCCCGCATATGGCCCCCTAGTGACCTTGAGTGACTGTCTCTCTAGGACTTCTCATTACAGTAAACTTGGTTTTCCTGCACCTTTCCCACATCCCCTCCTGTGGCTGCACCTATCTCGTCAAAAAAGCAAAACAGCCACCATGATGAAGTCGACATCATGCAGGTCCAGCCCAGCAGCCGCACAGGCATGAACAGGGACCCCGTGCTGCCTTTGGGACAGACCACAGAGGCCAGAGGGCCCAGGAGCCACAGGCCTGTCCTGTCCAGGGCCAAGCCAGCCCTCCTGCTCCCTTGAGCCCCTGCTGCTCTAGGAGTCGTGTGTGGCTGGATCCTTCCCCAATGTGTTATAAAGCCTGTGATCCTGTGCATCTGTTATTCTGGGAATGAGACGGAGGCTGTTCCTGCTGGGGAGCCTCGTCCAGACCAGATAGGCCTTACCTGAGCAGATGATGGCGATGTCCCAGTCATGGGAAAGACCAATATCAGAATGATTTCTCAGATGACGATAGTTACAGTCATTGACAGTTAATTCTGTCCCACTGCAGGAAAGGTCTACAAGCCAAATGGGCCCGGACCCTTGTCCGAAACGAGTGCTTCTGACAACATCAACTAAATCTCCACAGCCCAGCTGTCTGCACAGCACAACAGCATTATTCAAGCTACTGTAGCCAACGTTCACCGTGCCCCATGTGCCTTGATGCTTCACTGCCAATCTCCCCTCGCAGTGGTGGCTGCCATCCTCCAGCCGCACCTCCACAGCTGCAAGAGAGACATGGACACAGAACACAGCAGACATTTTAGGCAACCATGAAGTGGTGGTGTAACAGTATTAAAAATGAGCTCTCTGGAGTAGGGGGAAAAAAATCCCTTATGTACAGCATTTTTTTTTCTTCTGTGGTGTAAACATTCCCATTGTGGCCAATTTTAAACTACCAGTGTGCCATCCCTGAACTTGGGGGTGGGAGTGTTGCACACAGTTGCTTCTCACAAGCCAGTGGGACATGGCTCCAGGCACACCACTGAGGACAGGCCTTCAGGGGACTCTGGCCCCGCCTTCCCAGTAGAAATGCCTGAGGCTGTGGAGGCCCAGATTCCTCGCCTCAGTCACAGATCACAGTCTGGCCGGTGGAGCACTCTCCTCTAGCTCTGGAACAGAGGATGAAGCAAGCATCCTCTAATGTGTCCCAATTATTCCTGCCTCCTGGTACTCACACCATTAGGAAGTCCCCCTCACACCTGCACATGGGCTGAGCCGAGTACCATGCATCTAATAAATGAAATTTGGCAAAAGTGAAGAGAGGTCACTTAAGAGGTTAGATTTCAGGAAGACAGGTTTCTCTCTGGCACCTGTCATGCACTGTCCCCGGCTTGCTCTGAGGAAGCAGCTGCTAGATGGGGAGCTGCAGATGGAGACTCACATGGCAAGGAGCTGGGGGAGGCCTCTGCCCACCAGCCAGCAAGGCAAAGGCACTGAGGCTGTGAGGCAGACGGCCCACCCAGCCTGGACGTTGCCACCGCAGCCAGATGAGTGAGCTTGGCTGGTGTCCACCTGCAGATGAACTTCGGGATGGCAGCAGCCTTGTGAGAGATCAGGAGTCGGAGGACCCAGATACGCCAGGCCCAGCCTCCTGGCCCACAGAGACTACAACATACTTACCATTTGTTGTTTTAAGCTGCCAAGTTTGGCAGTCATTTGTTGCACAGCAATTTGTAACTAATTTAGGGGTTCCCTCCAGGTCAGAGAACAGCAGGGTGGACAAGCTGGAGATTCCCATGTGTGGTTTAATAAAACTAAATAAGACTCCTTCTTGAGTGACTGATTCTGCTACCTTCTTCCCACCTGTGACTGGAACCCACACTGCCTCTCACGCTATCAGTTTATCATCCATAGCCTATGTTCCTATTCTCCTTCATGAACAGAGAAACAGTTTCCTGAGGCCCTAGGATCATCTACATTAGCTTTGAAGTGGGGTCAGCAAAATGCAATATTTTTTTTATAATCTAATAAAGTCTTGTCCGGGGCGACCCATTGACACTGCTCAGGTCTATACCTGGCTCTGTAGGGTCCCACTCTGGAAAACAGAAGTGGTGCATCAAAGAGGGAAGCATCCAGGAGGATGCTGGAGCAGAACAGAACCCTCGTGTGATACTGCCCGCTCAGGCGGGCTGCCGTAACAAATACCATAGACGAGGTGGCTTAGGCAACACAAATTAATTATTTTTTTCCTCACAGTTCTGGGGGCTGGGAAGTCCACAATCAGGGTGCTGGCAAGGTGGTTTTCACTCTGAGACGTCTTCTTCTGCCTTGTAAGCCACTGCCATCTCCCTGTGCGCTTGTCCTCAGTACATGAGCATGGGGAGAGAGGGAGAGAGAGTCTTCCTCTTCTTATAAAGCCACTAGTCCTGTTGGATTAGGGACCCACCTTCTGATCTCATTTAACCTTAATTACCTCCTAAATTCCCTATTTCCAAAGACAGCCACACTGGGGGCTAGGGCTTCAACATGTGAATTTTGGAAGAGCACAATTCAGTCCAGAGCACCTGGGAGGTCCATTCTAGGAAGGAAATAAAGATAAATGGGAAGGAGGTGGAGAAGATACTAGAAGAAGGGAGACATCCTGTGAAGCTTACTCAGAGGTTTCTTTAAGTCTTACATTAAGGTGGGAATAAAGGATTGAAATGAAATCCAAAAAGTACACAAGAAGCTTCTTTTATTAACACTGTCTAAGAGGCAGGTCCTGTACTAAGTGCTCTGCATGCAAAAAATAAGGGAATGTCCTTGCCTCCAGGTAACTTATATTTATCTGGTGACACAGACAAAATCAGATGATTTCATTACTGTGAGAAGTTCTGGGAGACTTTCTCAGTAACAGTAGGCTGGGTTATTGAGGCTGTCTTTTCTACTGAAAATAACAAATAAGTGGAATAAAATATAGTAAAATTTATCTTTAAAGCATTAAAGACCTGATAAGTTAGGGGAAAAAAATCAGGCTAAATCTGAAGGGAAAATGGGAATTCACTGACGTACAGGGACAGGGCATGCGATTTCACCCTGAGAGTATCAGCCTGTTCAAGAAAAGGAGCTTCCACGTGGCTTTGATGGTGAGGAGGCACAAATCAAATCCCAAGCCCACACCCAGATGGGACAACTAACAGAAGACACTGTCCACAATCAGCCAGAATACCAGTTGAAATAGATGTGTCCTTGTATAGAATTAGATTCAGAGCTTGAATATCTGAATTGCCCAGATAACACCCATTTTTGCTCTTGTATTAAAGTAGCCCACTACTGATAGCACCATGAAATCATGGGAAAAATGAAAATAAAATCCTCTCAGATTAAATTCAGGATGACCTTCATCCTAGGCCTAAAATTACTCCCATGAATAATTCTTATAAATAAAATGACCAGTACATTGTCAAAAACAGATACAGAAAGAAACAAGTGTCCAGTAACAAAAACCAAGAGAGACTACTGAAACAGACACAGAAACTTCTGATATTAGATACCAGATACCAGGCTATATAAAACCACACATACTGTACATAAAGAAATAAAATACATCAAAAGAGTCTTCAAGAAAAAAATTTTTTATGGATGAAAAAACTATGAATGAAAAATATAGTTGCCAAAATCAAAAATTTTTATCAGATTAAATTCAAGTAAAGAGAATTACTGAAGTGAATAACAGGAAGAAATTATCAGAAATGCATAGAGAAACAAAAGGATGAAAAATACAGAAGAGATGATCAGAGACAGAAGATGCAACAAGAAGGTTTAAATTAAGTTAAACTGAAATATGAGAAGGAAGAGAAGGAGACGAGACAGAAAGAGAATTGAGCAGAAGCAATACCTGAAAAACATTGGCCAAGAATTGTCCAGAACTAATGACAGACATTAATCCATAGAGGGAACAAGGCCAACAAAACTCAAGTAAGACACAAAAAGGACTTCATTTGTGGACAAGTCACAGATCTGGTACACATTACTAGTGTTCAGAAATATTTCAAGTTCTCTTCTCCTGGGGCACGTGAAAATAGTAATACTTCCTGGCCTGCTTGAAGTTGAGCAAGGCTATGTGCTCTGTCTTTTCCAGTGAAGTGTGAGAACAAATGCTGTGCATCACTTCATGTAGAAACACTTTAAAGCTGGTATATGCTCCTGCCACAGCCACCCTGACAGCATCATGTTGAAGTGCTGGCATATTAAGAGGGTGAGGCGGTCAACAACTTAAGAAGTTGAATATTATGCCCCACCAAACTGACCAGAACATATAGTGTAAGAAATAATTAACTTTTGCTTATTTAATCTTCTGAAATTTGAGCTATTGGTTACTATAACATAACCTCAATTATTCTTGTTAAAATGGTGAGAAACAGCAGAAAATTGACAAAAATCTTTAAAACTGATATATATTATCTTTAGTTGACCAGCATCTATACTAACATTTGAGTCCCCCAAAACAAGAGATGCCAGTACAGAATAGGATAAAGCCTTAGATAATCTAAAAGAAAAATAAATCGCCATCCAAATTTCTATATTCAAAAGCACTCTACAGAATAAAGGTCTCATGAATGACATCACCAAAATGGCAAAATTACCACCTCCAACTCTCCAACAAAGATCCACAATTAGACAGCTATCCACTAGCAAAACTAGCTCTAGGAAAACTCTGGAATCCACTTCAGAAACTTTAGAAAGACCGAGACAGCTCCATTCTGCCCATGTCCACCTATCCCATCTCCCAAACAGCATCATTCGCACAAACAGGGAACTTCCTAGCCAGAAAGAATTTCCTCCCCAGGAAAGGAAGACAGACTTAGTGGCAAGCCTCCCCAGCCTTTTGGGGCATGGCACAAATGTCTTACTTCAGTTTCACCTCCACCCCCACACTAGCAAAGCTGAAATCTATACAGATAACTAAGAACAAAGAAGAAAACCAGGAGCTACAAAGAGCAGGCACAGAGTGGGATCATCACAGTCCACAGTGACCTGCTCTGCATACAAACCCAGCAGAAGAAACTGAAGAAACTAATAGCCAGCACAGATCCTGTAAACCCCCTGGTATTGCATCAGCATTTGCCCATAGTGTATGCCCTCAGTGATACCAGCCACCTCGTTCCCTCCCCAACCCCAATTCAGAGCATGAGAACTGTACTGGAAGCCGGCTTAGGCCTCTGTGGCTGCGCAAGTGCAAGATGCCATCTTGGATTAACAGCACCACCACGCAAGGACTCGGCGCTGGCCCCTCCAGGCTGTGCACTAGCACACTGCCAGCCTGGCAGTCATCACCAGCCTACAGGCATTGTCATGTCCTGGGGAACGATGCATAGCCACAAGAGGGCACACAGCCAAGGCCCTTCAGCCGCCAGTGAGCTCTCAGTTTGCTGAGACCTTGCTGCCTGTTTGGCCCCCATAACCATGTGTGTTTCTGAAAATGGCCCCTATCCCTACATAGACACCTACAGCTGGCCCCCGTGACCAAGTGTGTGGACACCACTGGCTCCAGCCACCACCTCTTTCTGCCCTGGTCCCTGGCCTCTAGACATGGAGGCACCACTGAAGACTCCAACAGCCCTTGGAGTCACAGCAGAACCTCTACAGTGCTTGCCAAGGTCCACACAGTTGTTGAAGCTACAGACCTGAGCAACCTGAAATGAAGAGACGTCACAACCCCCCAAGACTCAGTGCCACCATATGTCCTTGGCATCCTGCCTCCCTAGACCTAGGTACCACATGCTACAGTGTGCCCCCCACT